CCCTGATGGTAAACCCCAAACAAGAAAAAATTGTCGGACTTGTTAACTTGTTATCACTTGTCATAACTTGAAATCACTTGTTGGAGAGCCTTGAGAAAGGGGAGGCACAGAGTTGGCAAAAACCTAGTGATGGCGAAAGCTCCCCATTCCCTCCCAAAGCAATATACCCGTATAGCTGGGTTGATAACGCGGAGTAACGGTTTTATTTGCATCGTTTTCTCTACCTTTTAACCAGGAAAGAAACAGAATGCAGAGGCTACCGCGAGACCAATTCTGTTTGTATTTTGAAGTCACTGAACGGCAGAAATCAGACTTTGAACAGCTGCATTAAATAAATCATCGGCGCTATTCATTTTACAATGGTTCAGGGGACTTTCTTAAACCGGTAATGTTCAGAAGCTTTGCGAGATCTTTTTCTGAGTTTTTTCAGAGATATTAAGGGCCCCTGGACGTAGATTGCAGATCAAGATGGGGCCCAGAACTTATACTGGCATACGACCGCATGCTCGTCTCGCAATGTTCAACGTTCAGCCAGAATCGATCACTGAGAAACATTTATGTAACATGGTTTTGTGCATGAGCGCTCGCTAGCGTTAGTAGCGACCTCGACGCCCGACGTTGCAGTCTCCATAGACCGCGTAACGTCAGCCTTAAGGCTGACAATAAGTGGCGGCCAACGGGCAGTGCGAAAGTGATAACACATCTGAGGGAGTATTTTTGTACGCTTTTGGACATCAATTCGTATGTTTAGAAAGTAGTCCAGATGTATATATCACCAGTGCGATTTTTAGATTGGCAGGAAGGACAAATTAGCTTTTACAGCACCGCGAAGTGTTGCTGAAATCTGGTGCCGGGACTGAAAGATTAAAGGTAGACTGGTAGATTAAAGGTATCGCTATTTTTCGTGCTGCTGTAACTGTTAAATTGGCCAGACGGACATCCTCAAAACATTTTTAAAACACGGTGCAGTCTATCTTCAAATGTTTCAAATTTACTTTGAAAGACTATCAGAAGCATTAATTCAAGCCGGACCATTCTCGTACGCACGCCACCCGACGCCTGGCATTACTTGCAGCGACCAACGCCGCTCGGTTTTGCTTTAAGCTTGGGGAAGAAAACCAACTTTCGGCATTGCAGTCCCCATGGGCCTCACGGCATCGGCCCCGAAGCAAACACTCGGTGGGCGTCAACGGGCGGCAAAAACAACTGTATATAGCAAACTGGTACTTTGAAACGCGTTATACCATAAATTCGTATACGTTCAGATGATATTTCCGCGTAGATTTCGCTTGTGCAATTTTTAAGATTGATAGCGCGGAACAGATAAAACATTGCAAAGCATCACGAAATCATGACGCAATGGCGTACTCGCGATCACTTCTTGTTGCCGTAACTGATAGTTTCATTCAGAGAATCAACCTCGAAATCGCACTATCACAAAATCGTAAATTAGGGTCTTTTAAATGCCCCGTTCGGATTAAGTAAAGGCTGTGGCGCTCTAAGATGGACATGTTGGTGACCCATCGCCGATACTGTCAGTCTAGGGCCAAACTCGGATTTCACCAATCGGATGTATATACATTGCGGTGCCCCCGGAAATTTTTGCCCCTTGGAATGAAGATTTTGACGCCCCTCGCCCAGGAGAACGATCCAAGATATAGTTTGGAGTGGGAAGCGTAAACGTTGTTGCGCTCCTGGAATTTGATGTTCCGTGAGAATTAAGGTTTGGGGCCCTTCGTGGTGCCCTTTGGAATTAGGGTGACAAGCAAAAATGAAAGGTCCCGATGCCCGGCATGATGGTTTAGCGTTCTTTTTACTGAACGTGCCGATCGAGAATTTCATGAAGTGGAAGCGGCATGGAGATCGTGGTACCGGTGGGATTCGGTGGCTTCGAAATTAATGATTGAGGCACTTTGCGGTGCCTCTTGAATTTGGTGCCCCTTGGAACTAGGCGCTATGGGTCTCCAATGAAAGTGTTGGTATTCCTCCACGATATATTTTTATGCCACGAAGGGACGTCACGAAATTATTGGTGGTCCAAGGGGATGGCGGGGATTCCCCCCCCCCCCCCCTCTCTAGATCTATCCCTGTTTCTAACCGCATTGCCGATTACAAGCAGAACAATCGAACACCAAGCTTCGACGGTCGTGGAGCATTGCCACCACGCCATTTAGCAAAGTAGCTTCTGTGGCCTCAGCGGCCGGTGCTTCCGGGGAGGACCCATGGCCAGCTACTCAAAATCGCTGCTCTCCCGCAGCCTCCTGGATGGTCTCGAAACGCGCCATTCATGGGCTTGCACAGCATCCACTCAGACAGGGAGATGTCATGATGCTAATGGTGGTTGTATTTTCTGCGGAAAAATAGTCGGACTTTGAACTAGACCAGGATGAATGTGAAAAATCGCTATATCATGTTTTTAGAAGTTGTGAGGCGTCAATGAAGAAACATTATTAAGATGATCACGCCCATCTGCTTCTCTGCGCTCATCCACAACATACGACTTCTTGAGCATGTGCACAAATTGAAAGATTGAGTGCCATCAATATAATCGTTTTTTTAGTACTACTAAGAGATTTTGAGGCGTTTAATGGAGACACATAACTGAGATGATCACGCCCATCTGCTTCTCTGTGTTCATCCACAGCATACGCCCTCTTGAGCATGAGCACAACTCGAAAGATTGGGTACCGTCAATATAATCGACTTTTAACACTACTAGGTCGTTAGCCAGTGCATTCTGGCTGTTAAATTGAAGGGTCGATAACTCAACATAGAACTTCGAGCCAATAAAGCCGAAAAAAACATAACCGAAGGGCCTGTTTTTCTTATATCAAGTCAAAATTATTGACCATAACCACAGAATTACGAGAAGAGAGAAAAATGCGTATGGGAAATAGGATGGGTAAGGCTCATGGACTCTCACCCTCACTCCCAATGAAAACGCAAAGTCCACCTCACAAGGCTCTAAAAAAGCACGAACGGGATCTTTGGTGCAAGACAAACTCGGGTTGCTATTTGTTATCTCATTCATCGTACATGACAGGATAAGATCTTATCATTCGCCACATTAAGCAATTGAGGTAGATGGCTTGGTGAAGCTAGCAACAGTGGCATGCATGCTAAGAAAAAAAGTAGCTAAATGCAAATCAAATCTGAAACGTGTGGGGGGGGGGGGGCAGTTAACAATACTGATTCACACATCTGGAAAGCGGAGAGGACAATAGTCCCTTCCGGCCCCTCTGGTCCATACCCATGCCATAGCGTCAAGATGGGCACCTCTTCAGGTCAAATAGGATCATAGGCAGTCCATGACGGGATCTCTACACGTTACAATGGACCCACGTTACGTCAGATACGGGACCTCTACGGGTTAGAATGGGTCCTCGCTGGACCGGAACAGCCTCTTTACAGGCCAGCATGGACCCTCTAACAGACCAGAATGAAACCACAGTCGGTAAGGGCCCTCCACAGGCTAGGATGGGCCCTCCACAGGCCAGAAGGTACCTCCCCTCAGTCAATAACGGACCCTCCGCTGGTCAGAACTGATCGTTGTACAGACCAGAATTCGTCCTGGATAGGCCAGAAATGCCCCCCCCCCCCCCCCCACAGTAAATAATGGCTACCTCTATCGACCAGACCGGTGCCCTCAAGTCAATATGGGCCCTCCACAAACCCCGAATGGGTTTCTGTTGCATGCCAGAATGAAGCCTCCACAGTCGGCAAAACACCTTCCACAGGTTAGAATTAATCCTGTATACGCCAAAATTATCTGCGCCAAAACTCAACATGCCACCCTCCACAGGCCAGAATTGCTACCTGACTATTGTCCGACTACATTTACCCCATGCAGTGCGGATTAAGCTTTTTGACAAGACTTTTGATGCTTCCAGGAGTGACCTGACACTACTGTCATCTCCACGCTTCCACGTGGGTTTATGAAGGCATTGCAGAATCAGCCATTACGGCGCTGGTACAGCAGCTGTGGCACATGACGGGTGGGATTTTGCCCTTGGCACTCTTCCATGTCGATGACCAGAAGCCCAGCGGCGTGCACACGCAGACGCTTTCCTCGAGAGCATGAGCTGAGTAATCCCCCACCGCGAGCCGCGATGATGCGCTCTGGCATTGGTTCTAGCAAGTCTAGGCTTCCAGCACTCGCCGACCTCTTGGGGGGCAGACCTCGCAAGTTCAGACCGCTAGTTTGGCACGGAGCGCCTGTGCATCGATTCGGCTTTTCTACCGCTAACGTCAAGCCGTGAGTCATAACGGTTTTCCAGACGGGCCTGGCGAACGTGCGTGGCATCAACGTCGGCAATGACCCAGCCGAAATCCCCCCCCCAAAAAAAAGAGGAATGGGCATTGAACATGACCGTCCCCGTTCCCGACCGTCCCCGCTTTTCGCCTTAGCGGCGAAAAGCGGACGAGGACATAGACTGATTATGCCAGATCGAGCAGCACTTTGGAATGTGCTCCAGGGAGCCTGCTGGCTCACTGCTGCAGCATGACCGACGAAAGCAGCCAGGTCTTCGCCTCCAGCAGTGCAAGCCTCGCACAGATCAGGACAAGGACTGTTAATGTGAATCGCAGCTTTTAATTGCTATTGTTCGGTTTATTGTTTTCCAAAATGATTTCGCGTTATTTGCAGAATGCAATGTTGAACTGACGTATTTGTTCACAAAACCGTTCTGGAAACGCTAAGTTCCTGAAAGTTCGCTTTTTCTGAAATGCAGCCTCCTTAGTTACACCTCTAAATCTTGATATAAATGTGCCAAAACTCGTGGCACACTCCTTTGCACACTGTAACCAAAAATAGACCCAAGATATTGCACATTTTCACCTTATAGTGTGTTGTAATTTGATACACCATAACACAGCAAACCACACCGTAAAATGACGACCATAGTTTCCTATACGAGAAGACGCGTGGTGCATCTTACCCATGCACCGGGGACCCACTTCGTTACCGGCTTGTCTTCAAGTTCCGCACGCTTCCCAGTATTAATGCTGTCTGTATCCAGGTGAACTTGTGGGGCACGAAATCTGTAAATACAGCACGCTACAGGCGGTGCGTTTCGTATAAGCCATAACTTAAGTCGGCCGGCAACCATTCAGTGTGTGCATTGTTTTTCACATCGCGGATGATCTGTCCATCAGCTTTACGATTAGTTCAGTTATAAGGATGACAATTAATTTTCAAAGAAATCTGACTGAACGTTGTATACCCTTCATCTCAGTTTTCACTAACATGGTTTGATGCCAAAACTCAACGCCGTCATCACAGAACAGCAATATCGGTTCAGTGAAATGTTTTGTGCGCAGCAAAATACAATGAAGCACACGGCGAGAGCGCCAATTAGCTTACTTTGTACATGACCTTTGAAGAAACCACACCAACAACGATTTAAATATTAGCGCCATCCTGATTAGCAGGCGCACCACGGATCTTGCCGGAAGGAGCAAGCGAATAAAATGCGACCGATGACACCAATGTCTGAAGGCTGATGCCGGCGCCAGAAGAACATTTCCAGTCGTTGAAATATTATTTGATGTCAAGCTTAAAACACGGAGCATTGCCCCCCCTCCCCGCAAAAAATACTTGTGGTTAAGGTCGTCTAACCGGCATCTCCTGATATGTTAGCGGTCAATAGTTGTTAGCATAAGGACTGTGATCTTGTACTGCGTGAAAAAGTGAACCGCCGGCCTCCTCTGAACTCATGAGTGACCTTATATTTTATAATATATTATATAATGCAAAGTACGATGATCTCTGTCCCATTGAAGGTTTACTTTACGGCTTTCCGCTGCGATCCAACACGACCGCTGGCCACTCGCCGCCTGACGTGTCTCTTACTTCGTGTGCCCTCCTTCTTGCTCATCAACACGAACCCGCGGGCTGCTGGGTAGCCCTGGTCAGATTCGGGTTGTGAGGCGATCTTCCAGTCCAAGCCATCTTCCACTACGGCGCTGTCAGCTGTCCCGCATTCGCAGCCCGTCCTGCAAGGGCCAGTCAAAGAAATGGACTGCTACGCCGAAAACAGCACACAAGGACAAGTCAAAGGAACATCAACTGCTACGCCGAAAACAGCACACAAGGACAAGTCAAAGGAACATGAACTGCCACGCCGAAAACAGCACACAAGGACAAGTCAAAGAACAACTGCTACGCCGAAAACAGCACACAAGAACAAGTCAAAGGAACATGGACTGCTACGCCGAAAACAGCACACAAGGACAAGTCAAAGAAGCATGAACTGCAACACCAAAAACAGCACACAAGGACAAGTCAAAGGAACATGAACCGTCACGCCGAAAACAGCACACAAGGACAAGTCAAAGGAACATGACCTGCTACGCCAAAAGCATCACGCAAGGACAAGTCAAAGGAATATGAACTGATACGCCAAACACAGCACACAAAGACAAGTCAGAGGAATATGGACTGCTACGACAAAAACAGCACACAAGGGCATGCCGAAGAAATATTAACTGCTACGCCAACAGCGGAACACAAGCAATGAGATGTGCTTGATCTGCTACTTACGCCAACATGCAACGCTTTTCGCAACGCAGTTGAACTAATGTCCTTTTCTTCCGGAGCGAGATACTCTTCGAAAAGTTGAGCTTGTGTCCCTTTCTTACGCATTTTCACATTTTAACCTGCCAGGACAACTAAAACGTGCCAGCACAGGAGAAACCTTTTTCTGATTTTCCTGGATTTAACCATGTGTTTATTTACAATGCGTCTTACGAGACACATCAGTCAGACACGCAAATGCTCATTGACTGCCAGGTACGTAACCTGTAGAGATTAGCAGTCCGAAGTGCCCGCAGACACCAGGCAAATGCATTGGACACATTTCACGACTATCCTAAACGAATTTGGGCGATCTGCGTTAAAGTGCCATCATGTGCGCATGCCAAACTCTCCAAATATCATATCTGTGCGTGCGTGCGTGAGCGCACGTCTGTGTATCCTCTGTCGTGTGAGTGGACCAGAGACGCATCTTCTTCCAAAATGTCCGCCCGCAGACCGAACCGCCTCGGTCAGTTGGGGATCAAACCCACAAAAACCAGCTGAGTTATAATGCTGGCCTAGGGTAGGGCTTGGCCGGCATATATTGTGTTAAATGCAAGTTGCTGTCATTCTTATTAATTTGTATTTTGTTGCAGTGATGCACTTCTTTTTATTGGTTCAAAACCAAAGCTGCTACACTTAAGACGCATGCATAGTAAGCATAACATAGCGTGCCCCTGCCATCTAATGCAGATCATGTTGTGCCATATGCCAGTAATGTTGCTAAAACAGCAGTGAGCAAAGCACCTGAACCCATGAATTTTCTTTGGTACCGCCGTGCAGCTTAAACGCTGTGATGTCAGTCTTCCAGTGCAAATCAGAAAGGACTTGGAAGTTTAAATGGGCCATCACTAAGATGTGCATTATTTCAGTCTAGCTCTCCTCTCAGTAAACCACAGGTTAGGCTTTAAAAATTGCATGCTGTAAAGAAATGATGGATGTTTCAACTGCTCGGAAGTATGTTCAGTTTATTACAATGAAAACGGAAATAAAGCATTATATATATATTATATATATATATATATATATATATTTATAGCTCCAGGAAAGTGGGGTCATGAAACAATGCCAATCGAATTCGTCATTTTCACGATGTGTTGACAACACCTGAATGCGTTGCAAAAGTTCTAATACGAATAATCCGGGCTGCTTAAATATCGTAGCCCTGGCGAAAATCGTATCGGTGTTTATCGTCCTGAATCTGGACGTGTCGAATCAATTTCTGAGTTATTTGCCTGTCAGCTCATTACTTCGTGTTATTGGAACAATGCCGCTATGGGATCGGCACCTGTTCTAGCGCTTGGAAGTAGTCAATCTATCCTCATTTTTACCATACAAATTGCATTGAGCGGCCCATTAACTAGCCTCGAGACAAAGAAGCACAAGTTTGTTAAAGCGTCGTTAGATACACCTTTTCGTTTGCATGCCATTTGCAAACCTGTGCTGTGCCTAGTCACACATTACATGTTTGCTTACACTCCGATGGACATCCATGTAGCGGTGCCCTTTTCAAAACACGCGCGCCAGCAATCCTCGATGAAAGGCATGTTGGGCTCCTTATTCCAGGTGATGCTTTTTGGTCTTCTGTTGGCCCAAAGCCAGTGTTTTGCAGCTGAAGAATTGCGAGCATGGAACAAAACGGCACAGGTTTATCCATTTCAACATTCAAAGCATGACGGTGCGCAATTGCACATGCCAAGGCTCTTTACATTCATAACAACTTCAGTGCCATCGAAACTCTTAGGATGATGACCGTCATTTGCCAGAAGACATTGGTGTTCATTACATCTATTAATCGTCTTCACCTTTACTATAGACATAAAACATACATAGCAGAATGCCTGTGCATGTTTCAAGTAACATACGCGTGGCGCCAGTCTTCTTTATTTTGCCCCAGGTAATCACAGCCAGCACTGAGTAGGCTTCTACTCCATCCACGTGCTCGTTGCAGAACGACATTGGTAGAGGCCGGAAGCCAGGTCCGGCAGCTGTGGCGTTTCCGCATCTGCATCCGCCCCTATGAGCCAGAATGAATCAAACGCATCGTTATCACCTCTCACACAAAACAAGAGTATTCAGAATTCACTACATGGTTGACATCCGCCTAATGCACAGAATATATTAATGTGCAGCCCATGGAAGCAACCAGCCTATTTCAGTTTTATTTTTATACTGCTGAAAAGCAATGCTTAAATAATTGGACTCCCGCCCCGGTGGCTCAGTTGGTCAGAGCGCCTGCTTTCGGGTCCTGACACCCGTGGCGAAGTGGACTCAACTCGCTTTAGACGCTCGCTATTTGCCCTTCACAGGTATGGCCTGCGGTCGGTGGCAGCGGTCGCGCTAAAGGTCAGTTGACGTCACAGGGCAGCCCAGACCGTGCCGAGCATTGCGGCGCGTTTAACTTTCGCTACCACATTCTGCTGATGCCTGGAATTGCGCGATCGGATGGTAGGGGTCATGACTCACACAACAAGGACTACTTAGCGTGGGGCTGTGCTTTCCCTAGAAATTTCATTCAATCTCTTTTTGTTGTTGTTAAAAATTAATACAGTGAAAAAATCATTTGATTCCATCCATTCAAAAGGTTTGAATCAAGTCAAATCTTAAGTCTTCAACACAAAAAAATGCTGGCATTACTCGGGTTGCCATCTTATCCTATACTTCTTATATGAGAGCCTGGAAATGTCGACTGCCGCGAACTTTCTTTCAGGAAATATGTTTTACGTAGCCCAGGATATCCAAATTCGCTTAGTTGCTACCTGTGCAGCACTCGAGCATTTTTCGGAATTCAAGATTGCGACCGCCGCCATATTGAATTTTATCCCTTGAAAATACAGTTTCAAAGTTTTTTTCTCGATGGCTTGGATGTTCGTGTGGCACCACTTTGGGTTTTTTATGATAGGGGAGCACCATTTCGCAATTATTTGTCATGTAAGAGATCAAAAATAAAGTAAAATCGAATTCTCAAAGTCGAACTAATCATAAGTCACCAAATTCTTTGTATTGATCGATCGTACGGCATTTGGTCGTCTTTGCGTACTCATGCAAGGGTACCACTCACAAAAAGCTACACATGCTATAACTTATAATTTTGTAAAGATGTGCTCCATACCCAATGCATACCCCTATAAATAACACGCTTTTCACTGCGGATTAGGTACGTGTAGTCGGAGTTGCTGTCGCGACCCTTTTGACGGAAATGTGTTGTGTAACTAGTGGATGTAGCTAAGAGAGCAAAGTTAATCTGATTGCTGCTTCCGCAACTTTACACATTTCCCAGAATTCAAGATGGCCGCTACTACCATGTGAATGCCGGCCCATTTTCAAAGTTTACCTGGGCGACATGGAGGGTCGTGTGATATTATTTAAATGGAATTCTCGATCGCATGAAGCCGATTTTTGTAGTCAATTTGAATGTATGCGGTCAACGTCGAGGCCAAATCGCAAGCAAAAGGTCAAACTTGATTAAAAATAACCTGATATATGCCGTTGTTGTCTTCCCGTACTACTCATAAGGTACAACTAGCAGCAGCAGTGTTGCAAACCATGATAAAATAGACTATGTTTATATACACGGCGTATGTGTATATGAGACTGCAATGCATACATAGACATTACTGTCGGCTGCGATGAACTTAAGTGTCCATTTGGAAACTCGTCGCTGCAAAGCGATACGCTTTGTGTCAGGCGACTCTGCCAGGATGTGGTATCTTAGCTTACAAATCGTGCTCCTTTAGATTGATATCCGGGAGTAGAAACAAAAAAAGAGGTCTTTGCGCGCTCATTCGCGATTTTCAAAAGTTCCTGAAGTCCCATCATAGTGACTTTGACTTGAAGCAAGACTGTCTGTGTCTACGAAATAGTGTAAGGCGAAAGGCAGCAAGGCCAACGTGGCTGGGTACAGGTTAAACAGCATACAATTACAAATAAGCATAGTGATATCACGTCAGATCCTCTGGGGTAGAGTGATTACCATACCCATTTTTTTCAGGTTTCAGCTTTTTCCAGTTCCAGGCCCTCCCGTTTGTCGTGCTGGTGATGCCGCCACCGAACGCTACGCTGTGCCCTGCCCTTGCCAATGCTCTTGCTGTGTGCCTGAGCGTTACTAATTAAATTAAAAATGCATGGCAAAGCCAGACACAGCTGGACAACTGGCAAGCGATGCACGTTGTGAACTAAAGGGCAAGCTCTACGCAAGTGAACCGCGGCCCGGTTAAACTTCATTACACCTTCCGTTACATGGGGATGCTACTTCCAATCGCAGGGATTTGCGAGGTTGGATCTGCAAGCTCTATCAGCTAAAATTCGGTATCACCGGTATAGTGATATTCATCGCGAATTTTCAGCCCTGTAGTTTCCTGCCTCGTGCCACGCCACACCTCGTCTTACTGGCACGGACATGCGCACAAGTTGGTCTGAATGTATGCTGGTCTTGATGAATGCAAGAATCCAAGGAAGCTGGATGGTTGCATCACAGTGCTTACTTTCCAAAAGCAGCGAATTCTGTCTTAGCTGCATTGCAGGCGTCCAGGCAGTGCCGGAACAGCTTGACGGGGTGTTTCGACCAGCTCACTGGCTCCGTTGCGCAGCTCCATCCCCCTGGAACTGGAGAGCGATACAGTTCATCGGGATTTGCGGGCGTTGCCTGCTTTGCTTGCTGCTTTGCCTGCCTGCTTTGCATTTACCGCACTGCATGCGAATGCTCATGCATTACACCATGCATTGCATCATGCATCTGCATGCATCGAGTCCGCAAAGCGCTAACCTTTCGAGTTCTCTTAATTCTAAAAGATGTAAAAAAGCACGGATGTTTTTCATTGATTAAGTATTACCAGTGTTTTTAGGGCTCGTGATCACTCCTAGAAGCCAACGAAATAAACAGACACCGCTTCGCATCCTTTTATTCATAATCTGAAATAAACTTTCTTTGACAGGGTCTGGACGCACATACCATTAACGAACGCTTCTCTGTCGTGAAGCAGGAACCCTTCTCCGGGTGAGAGCGGCTTGCTGCTTTGAGCTTCCACCCATGTTTCAACGTCGAATTCAGGTCATCCTCCTTGAGGCTTCCACAGGCGCAGGTCATCCTGGGTGCATCCGCCAGCAGTTAACCCGACATTGACCGGGCTCCTCAGCAGCACACCATTGGCTGGCGGGGACAGATTTCACCCCTCCCCTGTTTATCTCAAGAATGGCTGGACCGAATTCACAAAGTTAAATCGCAACCGATAGCACCGTAGCGTGCAGTCTCAAACCACGCAACAAACTTGAATTTAAGTTTGTATTAAGGTCATAGGTCAAGGTCAAATTCTGAAACAATGCCGCTTTGGAATATCTGCCCACTCCCACGACGTATTTCATTTACAAGCGCATCTCATTGTGTGGAATCACTGCGCCTTGATCAAGCGTGCTACATGGGAAGGTATTCAATGTTACGCGCGCTCGTCAGGCACGGCCAAGGTCACGTGCCGTGCCAATTAGAGCGGCACCTTGGTGTTCATATCTGTTCTGGTCTCTTTATTTACGTGATATGTGAACCATCTTAACGTGAAGTGGCGAGCCTTGACGCAATTATGGGTATAAGACAGGTGAGCATGAGCGGCTGCCTGTTCATAAATCATCCAAGGTCAAAGAGATGCGTTTACTTTGGATGGCAATTGTGTCATAGAATTGGAAGTGCGAAAGCCATCGTCTACGGTCTGCCTGTGATACTCCCTGTGATATCCACCTATCAGGATATAGATCTTGATTGTTCTGTTCACGCTGAACAATGATAGACGCTAACCGTTTGAACACCCGGGGGTGCCGATAAGGTAGTGGTTAAAGGGAGTGCTCCACATTTGAAGATATTGAATCAAGCATGCAAATACGTTAAAAATTATCACTCATAACTGTTATATACTTTTAAGTGGAAAAACTGCCCCAGACACCACAATTTCTCTATTTAGTAAATATGTTCCTCAATACGAGTTTGTTAGATTGCGTCATTGTACCTTGTACAACGTTAATTAGGAGCCGATTGGCGGCCCTGCTTTCTGGAAATTGTGCCACGAGCAGCAGATATGAACGACCCGACAATTTTATCTTTCTTGGTCTTGGTCGACAAATAGATAATGGAATAACAGCATTTTAATGACGTTATTATGATGTCATACATCCCAAGGTGACCCTGAAGTCCCTCCCACCAATACTCTACAAAATTTAACGCCCTTTCGGCTCAGGAGCCAGAAAGTTTTATGTCTTAAAAAAGGACATGACCGTGAGCGGTATCGAAAGGTTCAGCAGCTATTCCAGTTCAAAATCCCATACAAATGTGGATCACTTCCTTTAACGCGCCTGCGTTAACTATTGCGCACCTAGGAAACTAGGGGTGCGGGGTTCGATTCTCCGCAATGGCAGCCAGCCCTGCCAGGGTGACGGCAGGCGACGCCATGTAGCCTCAGCGGCTGAGTGCGTCGTAGAGCTCAATGTCGACGACGTGTGGACACTCAGGACGAGCAATACAATACGACACAATCCCATCCAATGCAACACAATACAATACGACACAATCCCATCCAATACAACACAATACAATACGGCAGTCAGATTGGAAAATAACAGCTTTCAACGGGACGGCTCAACTTAAAACTAGCACTCACGGCCCAGCTATTACAAAGCGATCCGTGCATGCCTCCATGCACCCTTCCAAAGTAGTGACGTATCCAGGAGATCGCCAAACTAGCCGGAGGGGGATTTTGGAGACCCACCATAGCCTAAAGTCTGAAACCCACGGCAGGTCATCAAGTCATGGCATAAACACATGAAACATAGGCATGTAGGAACTTCGGCCTTTCAAGGTACCGGGTGCAGATAACCAGCGTAGTTGACGCGCCCTAAAGCCGCACACACACGCGCGCACGCACGCACGCACGCATACACCACCCCACACCCACACCCCACACACCCACACCCACGCCCACCCCACACCACCCCCCCACCCCCACCCCATATATATAATATATATATATATATATAATATTATATATATATACATTGTTTATTGCATATCAGAGAAAATTCCATGTTTACATCCTCTTGGGCGTTTTTACGACGAGCAAGTAGGTCAAAAACGCGAAATGTTATGACCTTGCTCAAAGACACGCTGTGTC